GTGGGATGACGGCCCAGGCCATCCAGGAGTGACTCAGGCCCCAGCACCTACCCCAGCACAGGCAAAGAGGAACAGAAGGCCGGCTGCTCAGGTGCCCTGGTCACCACTTCAGGGAGGGGAGCTCCCACCCCAGGCCTACTGTCTGGGAAATGGGGAGCCCTGGGCCCTCCCCCCGCCGCTGTTACCTTACTCTTTGGTCCTTGGGATTCTTCCCCAGCTTGCCAGGGCCTTTCAGGAGAACTAAACCCCAGGGCAGCTCCCCTTGTAGCCGGGAGACAGGTGTGTGTGTGTGTGTGTGTGTGAGTGTTTTAGAGTGAGGAAAGGTTCCTTCAGCCTCTGGGTCCCAAAGATTGGGAGCAGGCCTGCGTGGTGAGTGTGCACTAGGTGCAGGCCTGCGTGGTGAGTGTGCACTAGGTGCAGGCCTGCGTAGTGAGTGTGCACTAGGTGCAGGCCTGCGTGGTGTGGGCACTTGATGCCGGCACAGGTGCACATATGTGAGGTTTGTGTTGGCACTCTTGGATGTGAGACAGAGCAGACCTCTCTTCACGGCTGGCAGGCAGAGTTCTCCCACAGGTGACCCCTGTGTTCCTCCCACTTCTACACGCGGATGGGGTCATATCCTGGTCCATGAGGCTCTCCAGACTGAGTCCTTGAGGGCCGGTGCCGGACACGGGGCCTCACTGCACTCAGACAGGATGGAGGATGTGCCTGGGGTAGCCCTGGGCTGGTTGTCCAGCTAGGCGAGCTTCCCACCTCGGGCTGCCAGCACCCTTCCAAGGATCCCCTCCCTGGAAGACTAGGCCCCAGGGAGATGGCCAAGGGCCGCAGTGGTTCCACCTCCCCAACCTGGGCAGTGGGAAGGGCCCAGCAGAGCTCGACTGGGAGGGAAGCAGTCCTCCATCTGTCTCCAGCTCTAAGTGGGCAGTAATGCCAGGCCCCCTGCTAGCCCCTTGACCACAGCTGAGGCTGAGCCTGCCTGTCCCTGCTCTGGAGCTCCCTGTGTCCCCAGGACCCCTATTCCCCTTTCTGTGGGTGGTGGTGGGGCTGGGTCGGCCAGATGGTCCCTGCGTGCTTCGGTATAGGGATAATCTACTTCTCGTGACGCTGCAGCCGCCTGGCTGGCCCTGGCTTCCCCGCCTCCGCTGGCCGGGCTTGGCCGGGGACCCGGGCAGGGGCTGGGAGCCTGGCCTTCCTGGCCTGATCCCCCATCTGCTCCTGCCGATGGGTTTTCCTGCTGTCCTGCGAGAAGCTGGCCGGGCTGCTGACTGGGTGACCAGAGGCCGTGTCCCCTGGAAGGCACCTCTTTGATGACACCACAGGCTGGCAACCCCTCCACTGTACCACCCCAACTCCTGAGTGCTGTGGCATGGAGCCAGAGCCCAGTCCCCCGGCCCTAGGCCCTCTCAGGCTGTGTGTGTCACTGGGAATGGGCAGCCCAGCCGGCAGTCTCCAGGTTGGGTTCTTCAGCGGCTCCTGCTCCCTGAGGTGACCCTGGGGCCCTGGTGCTCACTGAGGCTGGGGGAGGTGCCAGGAGAGGATATGACTCCCTCTTCTGCCTGCCTTGCCTGGTGGGGTACACACGTGTGCCCCAATGACACATCTCACACAGTGTGTCATGGCCACCTGCACCACACCTGTGCCCCAGCCCTGGCTGTCCCAGGCTCTCTTAGACCGTCCAGGTCCTGGGCAGGGAGTGCCAGCCAGCTCTGTGACCAGGGAAGGAGGGCAACTGACCACACTGTCATTTTGCAGGGGTTTCTATTTTTTCCTTCTATTAAAAAAAAAAAAAAAAAAGATTGTTTACTTTGCGGCAGGGAACCGGCCTGGGGTTAAGACACTGCCTGGGGCTGGCGGTGCCCCTCACAGAACACCAGGCCTGGGGTTCTGGCTTACCCTGACCCAGCGTCCTGGGAGGCAGCTGTGGCAGCCTGAGTCACCCAGGAGGGAGACCCAAACGGGGCTCCCAGCTCTCCTGAGACTGGGTCCCTACCTCGCCCCAGGCGGGGTCCCTGGCTTACCTAGGGGGGGTTCCCAGCTTCCCCCAGAAGGGATCCCCACCTCCCCCAGGTGGCATCCCCACTTCCACCTGGCCCAGCCCCAGCTATTAGAGGTGTTTGGGGCTTGAGCTGGCAGGTGGGAGCCCTCTCTCCCCTACTACCTCTCAGACAGACAGATACATATTGGAAACAGTGAAGTATTCCTGGTGACTATATTTAAACTTTTTTATTTACTTGTGAGGCAGCAGGACAAGCAAAGCTCCCTCCTGCCCGCTGGTTTACCTCCACAGGCTAGTTGGGCCAGTTGTGGCTGGGGCTGGAGGCATGGGAATGGCTGGAGGCCCAGAGACCTCCCTCCCACCCCAATGCTGGTGCCTCTGTTTCCTGTCCCCCGTTTCAGCAAGGCTGTTGCCTGGGCTGGGGCAAGTGCAGCAATGACTGTTGCCCCACATGCCTCCGGGAGCAGGAGCTGTAGCCTGTGGGCCACAGATCCTGGGTCCCAGAGGGTGAGCTGAGAGGCTGGGTGACAGCTGCCGCGCTCAGCGAGGGAACCGGCCAACCAGCTTCTGGGAGAGTCTTCAAGCGAGGGCTATGGTTACATAGCAGACCCGGAGGTCCACGTGGCTCCTACACCAGAATCTGCCCCAGCATGCACGCACTCAACCTGCCAGGCTCTGCCCCTAGAAGAAGCTGGGCTCACTGCGGGGTTGGGCTTAGGGCTGGGGTGTCTGTGCCTCCATGGTCAGGGAAAGCCCTGACCATTCCCGGAGTAGTTCAGGGTCAACCTTCAGGCCCCAGACACCTCTCAGCCAGCAGCTGTGGGAGACAAGGCCTATGTGACCAGTCAGGGTGTAGGCTTAGGGAGGGGTTGAGAGGAGGAGGTCTGTGGGCACCCTGTGGGTGGGGTCTGTGGGTACCTACGTAGGCGGGGTCTGTGGGTGCTCACGTGGGCCAGGTTGGCAGGCAAGCCCCGAAGGAGCCACTATGGGTGCCAGACCACCTTCCCATGGAAACCACCTCAGGGCTGGAGGCCAGGAGGTGACCTGCAGGAAGGCCTGGGCCTCAAAGGACCTGAGAGGGAATCAAATGGTCCATTCAAGAGCGACTCCCACCAGCCAGACTGCCTCCTTGCCACCTGCTCTGGGCTCAGTTCTGGGGGCCACCTCCATGCCAACTGCTGAGATCCAGGACAGATTTGCTTGGGGGGAGCCTGCCTGTGGTCAGCACTGCCTCTGGGGACCTCTGGGGGAGGGGAAGTTTGGTGCCTACAGGACAGGCATCTGAGGGTTAGCGTGGTCATGGAACCTAGAGGTCACCTGGGGCCACCCAGGGTCTTCCAAGGGCACTCAAGCGGAACCCTCACTGCAGGCTCCTCTGGTGGCCCAGCCCCGCCGCCCTGGAGGCCCCAGACCTCAGAACTGAATGGGCCTGCCCTACCCCAAGCACACCTCCTGCTCTCTTGTGGCCCCCTGGGTTGGTTGACCTGGGGCAACCCAGAGGGTGGATGGGCTCTGTGGCTGCCCACCTGGGGCAGCCCCTGCTAAGCCCCTGCACGCAGGGAGGCTGGCCGGGTAGAGGTGACCTGGGCATCCTCTCGTCAGACACAGCCCGGTACCTCCTCACGGACAGTGGTGCTCAGACCAAGGTCTGGGCCCAGGCTCACTGCTAGCTTGGCCTAGTGCCATGGTGTCCCTGCACGCAGTGAGCCAGCTCACACCAACAGCTGTGCCTCACGCCTCCAGGGACTGAGCTCAGCCCCAGAGGGCACAGAGGACCATGTGCACTCTGGCATACCAGGCAAGGCCACTGCCAAGCTCCGGGACTCTCTGGTCGGGGTCTCCTGTGGTTGCACCACAGCCAGGCTGCTGCCTAGCCCGCTCCACACGGGCCTAGTTCCCTCCCTTTCGACATCGGAGGGGGACCTCAGCCTGACCAGGCCTCAGGGCGGAGACCAGCTGTCCTGTATTAAGTTGGATGCCAGCATTTGCAAACAGGGAGCCAGGCCATATGTAGAGGCGTTAACCCTGAGGATGCAGCTGCCCTGAATTCATGCTGCAGAGAACAGTGTATCAAGGACAGGGGTACAGGGGGCGAGGGGCGGACAGGACTCCTCAGGACGCAGACAGGGAGCACGAGGGACACACGGGGAGTGGGGGCGCTCCTGATGGACACGCGGCGCTCCTGCACACGTCGCCTGGTGGGTGTCGCTCCTGTTTTGTTTCCCCGCCTTGTCACACTGTCCTGCCCGGTTCCCAACACAGCTGTATCCACTCAAAGGGTCTTAGATTGAGCAAGACGGCAGCCCCCCTCCTGTCCCCGCGTGGCTCCAGCAAACCCGAGACAGGGACCAGCTGTGTGCCCCGGGAGGTCCCCACTCCTGTCCCCTGCCTTGCGGGACTTCACTCCCACCCTCAGCCAGCCGTTCCCCTCCCACCGACGCCCCCCCAGGAGACCTCGGCCTCTGGCCCAACCGCCCTCTGTTCCTCGGCCCTAGCTCGGGACCCTGCGCCCCCAAGTTCCGAGAGGCGGGGCTGGCGGGCTCTCAGGCCCGTGCGTCCGGTTCGCCCAGGCCCCGCACCCCCGGGGCGGCGGGGCGGAGCAGCGGAGGGAGGGGCGGCGCCGGGGCGGGCGCGGGGGCAGCCAGCGCGGGAGGCCCGGAGCGCCCTGCCCCGCTTCTCCCGCGCCTCCCCCAGCCGCCTCGGGGGCAGGAGCGGCTGCGGCCTCATTGGCCGGCGCGGGCGAGGGCCGCCGCATATATAGGACCTTCGGGGGCTGGCGGGATCCGCCGCCCCGCGCCCCGCGCCCCGCTGCCCCGCGCCCCGCGCCGCTCCTGTCGGGTGAGTTCGCGCGGGTCCCGGGCGCGGCAGTTCCGTCTGGCTAACCCGAGGCGCAGGGACCGGCGCGCGGCGACCTGGGCTTCACCTGGCGCCCTGTACGGTGGGCGCCTGGGCGGGTGGGGAGTGGGCGCTCTGAGACTCAGCCCTCCACCCTCTGCCACAGGTGATGGACGACTCACGGCCTGCCTTGGGCACAGTTCTCTGGGTTGTCCTCCTGGCCACGCTGGGCTTTGTGGCCAGCCAGCCCCTGGGGGCTGAGTCCTTGTGCACTGCCCGACCGCTGGCCAAATACAGCCTAACCTTCACGGGCAAGTGGAGCCAGACGGCCTTCCCCAAGCAGTACCCGCTGTTCCGTCCGCCTGCGCAATGGTCGTCCCTGTTGGGTAAGGGCAACCCCCATGCTAGCGCCAGGTCCCAGGTGCCCACGGATGGGAGGCTGCCGGCCCCCTCCGCCCAGCACGATGCTCTTCAGCTTGGAGACTCCCAGCTAAAATGCCATGTGCAAAAGGGCAGGGTGGCCAGGAGTCCCCAGGAAAGACTGGCTGAACACTTCCCGCCCAGACAGCTGCCCAGGCAAGGTGTGGCCACAGGAGGACCCTACCCGTGTCCCTGCAGGCGCGGCTCACAGCTCTGACTACACCCTGTGGCGGAAGGGCCAGCATGCCAGCAATGGGCTGAGGGACTTCGCAGAGCGCGGCGAGGCGTGGGCCCTAATACGGGAGATGGAGGCCGCTGGGGAGCGGCTGCAGAGTGTGCACGGTGTGTTCTCAGCCCCCGCCGTGCCCAGTGGCACCGGGCAGAGTGCCACGGAGCTGGAAGTGCACTCTAGGCATTCGATGGTAAGCCAGGATGGGTGATGGTGGTGGATGCCTGGGTCCCCTGCCTGACCCTGCTGCCTGGTGGCCTCACCTGCTGTCTGGCCACACCAGGTGTCCTTCGTGGTTCGCATTGTGCCCAGCCCCGACTGGTTCGTGGGCGTCGACAGCCTGGACCTGTGTGAGGGCAGTCGCTGGCGGGAGCAGGTGGCCCTGGACCTGTACCCCTATGATGCGGGCACGGACAGTGGCTTCACCTTCTCCTCCCCCAACTTCGCCACTATCCCCCAGGACGCTGTGACTGAGGTGGGTGGATTGCGAGTCGGGCCTGGCTGGAGGGGATGCTGTTCCCAGGGCCCCAGGGCCTGGGCCGCTGTGCGGGGCGGGTACCAAGATGCTGACTCCTGGGAATCTGAGCTGCCCTGAGAGTGGGGGACTCCCATGTCGCTCAGGGGCCTGGATGTCACTCGGGCTGTGATGTTGCCGAGGCAGCCCAGCTCTGGCTGTGTCTTCTAGCCCTGCCCTGAGACCACACACACTGGCACATGAGGTCTCTTGGCTCCCAGCTGACTGTCCCTCACTCTCGCAGATCACGTCCTCCTCCCCCAGCCACCCGGCCAACTCCTTCTACTACCCACGGCTGAAGGCCCTGCCGCCCATCGCCAGGGTGACCCTGGTGCGGGTGCGGCAGAGTCCCCGGGCCTACGTGCCGCCTGCAACAGACCTGGCCAGCAGGGGCAATGAGATCCTGGATAGCCTACCAGGTAAGCCCAGGTCCTTGTGGTGCCCCGCTGCAGGGCCGGCTCCTGCCCGCTGCGGGGCCAGCTCCTGCCCGGCCCCGTCTGCCCTTCGAGCCCTCCCAGGGTGGTGCCACACTCCAAGGGACATGGCACCCAGCCTCCATGGGGTCCCTGACCCATTCTGGCTGCCAGGCGGTACTTGTTTGGGTCATGTGGGAGGGAGAAGCAGGGTCCATGGAGGACTGTGCCCACCTGCCCTTAACCCAATCCTGACTGCAGCCTTATTGCCCAAGGTCAGGGTCAGACAGATGGGGTGAGCTGCCTCTGACCAGAGACTAGGCCTGGTCCTTTGACCTCGAACCCTGGGCAGGATCATGGCCCTACCCCCACCAGCCTGGACCTGGTGCCTGCCTTGTTTGGACACCCTGTTCCAGGGGCCCAACACAGGCTTCCCACTGTTTGGACACACATGAATGGTTGCCAAGGGGAAGAACTCAGTAGAGGGTAGGGCCAAAGATGCACTGTGACCTGAGAGGCCTGGGGGCGCAGGTGGCAGAGCTGGCCGAGTCTGTGGGTAGCGTCTGTGGCTGGCTCCAAGCTGCGCGTGCAGCTGCAAGGCACCCCCTCCTGAGAGGCCCCCCGCCAGCTGAGCGCCCACATCTTGTGTCTCCCCCTGTGCTTGATCCAGCTCCAGAAACTCCGCTGGATTGCGAGGTGTCCCTGTGGTCCTCCTGGGGGCTGTGCGCAGGCCCGTGCGGACAGCTAGGCACCAAGAGCAGAACCCGCTATGTACGTGTGCAGCCCGCCAACGATGGGAGCCCCTGTCCCCCTCTGCAGGAGGAGGCCGACTGCGCCCCCGACAACTGTGTCTGAGACCCGTGGTGCCACAGCCGGCCCAGCCCTGACCTGCCGCGGAGCAGGCCCTCTGCGGGCAGGAGCTGGGTCCTTGAGCAGGCCCTCTGCGTCCGCCCATCCGCTGAGTCGAGACCCTTGTAATTTATTGCTGTCCTGCAGGCTGTCACAGGACCCACCCTGGGCCCAGCACCAACCTGGTGGTGCAATACCTCAGACCTGACACCCAGGCCATCCCTTTGCCTGTCCTGGGTGAGGCTTCGCCAAGGGTCACCCATGCAAAAAATAAAGGAGCAGTTCTAGAACTTTCTCTTGGTTTTTCACGCTCTAGAACCTTCCCTTGGGTTCTCAGGTTCCAGAGCTTTTCCTGGGTTCTCACACTGCAGAATCTTCTCCCAGTTTTCACTCTCCAGAACCATCCCTCATATTCTCAGATTCCAGAACCTTCTCTTCAGTTCTCTTGGTATTTGAATAAAGATTCTGCTCCTCACTGGTGCTGGTGGTCGTCCTAGTGTCCTGATGTGTTTCGGGGACCTGGTGCACTGGGGGTCCAAGTGGGCTGGCCAGGTGCTGGCGTGGCACTGTGGCTACAGTCCTGGGGACAGGTCTGCAGTGAAGGAAGGGCAGCCAAGAACAGGCCATGTCCTGACCTTCCTAGGCCCCAGGGTTGTGTGCACAGTCCTGCCCTGGACATGACCTACATGCGGAGGCGCGAGGATCAGAGCTAAATGGAGGAATCTGCCGCACGTGGCCAAGACGATGCCACTCAGAATGAGACCTTGTATGCACCCCAACCTGGGGAGGCGACCCCTAGAAGGGGGGCTGCCCACTCTAGGGTTGCTCACTGTGGCACTTCCCGCCTCTGCATGGCAGTGTAGTGCTTTCCTCACAGGGACAGGTGCCCATCACAGCCAGGGGGCAGGGTGGTCCTGATGGGTGGGGATGCTGGCCCTGGGAATACGTGGACGGCAGTTCTAACTCCTTTGCGGACGCTGGCCAGGCTGCAGCCTTTCCCGCCTCTTGTTTGCACTGCCACCTGCTCCGGGTGGCTTATCGGCTCCCTGGCTCGGCTCCGCCCCGGCCAGGTGCAGCTGCCACGTTAAGTCCCTGGCCTCAGTCCCGCCTGCCGTCCTGGAGCAGCCAACATGCCAGCATTCCCGACCCTGCTGTGTCTCTGCCTCCCACTCTCGGCCGCTTTTTATTTCCACGCGGCAGAGCGCGAGGAGAAGTGTATCATAGAAGACATTCCCAGCGACACGCTGGTAACAGGTGGGTGAGGCGGCTGTGGGGCCGAGAGCGGGCAGCAGGTGCCAGTCACAGCAACCTGGCACAGGTGGCCTCCACAGCAGGTGCTGTGATTCTGAGGGTCGGCAGCTATTCCATGAGTGTGTGAGACAGGACAGCCGGGAGCGTGAAGGTGGCCATTTTCCATGGCTGAGAGGACGGCCAGAGCTTCAGACTTTACCCAGAGCCCGTGTCTCCCCCGGCTCAGCTAGGCCCAGCTGTCTCCTCCTGGGTGTGCTCGGCCACCTGGCTGCTTGGCCCCATTTTCCTGGAAAGTCCTGAGGGGCAGGGCTGTAGCAGGGGCGACACGGTGGACTTGGAGCTGGAAGAGCCTGCAAGGGAAGGTGGGGCGGGGGGCTGTGTGTCCTGCTCTGCCCAGACCCTGTCTGCACCGCGCCGGCTCCTCGTCCCCAGGGGAGATGTGTGCCCTGGCCTGGGCCCTGCTCTTTGGCTCGGTCTGTGCTGGCCGGCCCCACACAGCTGTATCCACTCTACGCAACGCCCACTGCGGCCACAGGAAGCAGCGGGACCGGATCAGGGCCTGTGGGAGAGGGGGAGCCGAGGGGGCCTTGTGGGTCAGTCTCAAGGCCAGGCCCCAGGAAGCCACTGTGGAGCCTGGCAGGGCTGTGTAGTGGGGCAGGGTGGGGGCAGGTGGTGAAGCGGAGGGGGAGGCTCCAGGAAGGGCAGGGGGAGCCAGGAGCCTCCACAGCCACGCAGAATCCTTGAGGAGGAGCAGCTGGTTCCAGGAAAGCGGAGGCTGGACCCCTGAGGATGACCCGTCCACAGCCACTCGGCATGTGGCAGCAGAAGAGGAGCTCAGGCAGCGATGTGGGGGTGACGTGGACAGAGAAGCAGGGCAAACGGTCAGAAATGGAGGCTTGGGGCAGGTGCCATTTGCGGCTCCTGCGGTGCGGATCTGGCTTCCCAGAGATGGACCCTGCCAGCCAGCGGCCAGGGCTTAAGGGGTTTGACGGGTTGGGTCACCAAAGCCCACCCCAGGCGTGTCTCCCCCAGCACCAGCCTGGGGGACAGGCAGCAGGCACCGGCCAGGCCTCCCTCCGTGGCGCTCCTGGTCCACTGGGACCGGCGAGGGGCAGCCAGGACTGGGCCGAGGGAGAGCACGTTTGAGGGTGTCTGCAGGGTGAGCGGCAGCAGAGGGCACCTGGCAACACAGCCCTCCATCCCGCTCCACAGCTGGCCCTCAGCACTTCGAAATTACTGCGCTTTTTTCTTTCCTCATACTATCTGAAAGGCAGGGAGACGGAGAGAGCTCTTCCGCCCGTTGGTTTACTCCCCAAATGTCCAGGCCAGGACCCAGCCGACCTAAGCCTGGAGCTGGGAGCTCGGCCTGGTCTAAGCTGAGCTGGGCCTGCTGGGCTGCGGCGCTCCCAGCGGCATTCTAACTGCTGCCCGAAGGGCCGCGCCGTTCCACCATTTTCCACGACCCCCTGCACGCTGCAGTGTCTGCAGCAGGAGGGAAATGGGGTGTGCCCACGCAGCCTGTGGCTCCTGACGCGCCTGTGAGCTTGGAGAAGAGCCCTTCTCACCCGAAGGGCTCCACGAGACGCACATCCTGCAGGCTGTGCCTCGCGCCTGCCCGGGGACCCCGCTGGCCTCCTGCGGGTGCCCCACTGACCTCACGCGGGAGCCTCCCATTCCGGGGCCCTGCCCGCCGACGGTGCGTCTCCTCTGCCACCTGCTGGCAGCGTTGGGGATATCCACTCCCTCTGGGTCGGGTGGTCAGCCAGTACTTGGGGTTCCACACAGCAGCAAAGACACCTGCTCCACTTAGATCCATCTCCAGGTCCCAGGTGGTGTGCTCCGGGACCTAGTTGAGCACGCATTGTGGGGGTCCCCTCACTTCAGGCCATCAATACGAAGCGCTTTCAAAAAGTTTGTGGGAGAGCCCAGCAGAATGGCTCAATGGCTAAATCCTCCCCTTGCAAGCGCTGGGATCCTATATAGACTCTGGTTCGTGTCCTGGCTGCTCCACTTCCCATTTAGCTCCCAGTTTGTGGCCTGGGAAGGCAGAGAAAGAGGGCCCAAAGCTTTGGGACCCTGCACCCATATGGGAGACCCACGAAAAGCTCCTGGCTCCTGGTTTCAGACCCGTTTAGCTCCAGCTAATTAAAGATTGACTTATTTTTATTAGAAAGTCAGATTTACAGAGAGATAGGAGAGACAGAAAATTTATCCATCCACTGTTCATTCCCCAAGTGGCTGCAATGGCCAGAGCTGAGCTGATCTGAAGCCAGGAACTTCTTTCAGGTCTCTCACGTGGGTGCAGGATCCCAAGGCTTTGGGCCATCCTCCACGGCCCTCCCAGGTCACAAACATGGAGCTGGATGGGAAGTGGAGCAGCTGGATTAGAACTGGTACCCACATGGGATCCCTGGGTATACAAGGTGAGGACTTTAGGCTGGGCTACCATGCTGGGCCCATGAATCAATCTTTTTTTAAAATGAGTTTGTGGAAGTCTGAGGAGGAAGGCTCTCCATCTGCTTGTTCATGCTCCTGAATGGCCACAGTAGCTGGGGCTGGGCCAGGGTGTAGCCAGCAGTGGGCACAGGGGCCATAGCACTGGGGCCGCGTAGGCGCATGAGCAGGTGGCTGTGTCACAGGTGGGTACAGGACTGGCTGCAGGCTCAGATTCAGGCTGCCAGCACTGTAAGCAGCAGAGTTACCTGCTGTGCCTCATGCCAGCTGAGCTTGCCTCGTAGTTGCATTTTCCGTGAGCTTGACCTACCCAGCAAGTGAGGGGTCTACATGACATGCATGATCAAGGATTTGTGTGACATAAATGGTCAGGGGTCTGTGTGACATGTGTGTGGTCAGGGTCTATGTGACACACACGGTCAGGGTGTGTGTAACATGTATGATCAGGGTTTTGTGGACACATGTGGTCAGGAATCTGTGTGACACACGTGGTCAGGGGTCTGTGTGGCACGTGTGGTTGAGGTCTGCATGGCCTGCATCTCTGTTTTGTGCAGGGAACTTCAAGATGCAGATGTGGGACATGCGCAGACATGACTTCCTGGAGTCGGCCCCCGGCCTGGGGATGTATGTGACAATTAAAACCCTCGACGAGGAGGTAGGGTGTCTGATGGTCACACTTGGTGCCTTCCCCTGTCAAATTTTATGCCTCATACTTCCCTGAGTGGCAGCATTTGCAGTTTCAAAGTCTGTGGAGCAAGACCAGTGCAAACCCCAGAAAGTGTCTGCCCTCGATGCTTTACACACAAGGTTTAAACTACCTCTTGGCAGGCGGGGCCCTGGGGTCACCCACTGCTCACACCCGGGTGCCCAGCTGGGCAGGTGGGACCCTGGGGCTCACCTGCCATTCACATCCAAGTGCGTGGCTTGTTTCTGATCCAGCTCCCTGCAAACGCAGCTCAGAAAGCAGCAGGTACGCCCCAAGGGGCTGCTGCACCCACGTGGGAGATCCAGGTGGAGTGGCCAGCTCCTGGCTTGGGCCTGGCCCTGCCCCAGCTGCTGTGGGCACTTGGGGAGGGACCCAGCAGAGGGAAAATCTCTCTCTCTTCCTTTGAAATACAATGAAAATGAAGGTTTTTAAAAATAGGAAGAAATGATGAAACACAATCCTTTCATGCAACTTTATTTTACAGACTTTCCCTTTCAGTGGGCCCTAGGAGGCAGGGTCCTGACATCGCACCAAAGCAAAACTGGAAGGTTTCTTAGAAAGGCAGCATTGGTAGTGGTTTTCTGTAAGGCATCCTGGCCCCAGGCAGCCCTGGCCCTGGTTCTGCTTGGTCTGCATGGCCACGTGCAGGGCATCACTTGGCTGCAGCCCGCCATGTCTGCCTCAGGGATGTGCATTTGTGCTCCCGTTGCCTCATCCATACCAGGGCGTCTTCCAGAGGCTGCAGGGGGAGGTGGTGCATCCGGAGGCTGGATGAGCGGAGGCCCAAACCGCGGGCCTGGCCGAAGTGCCAGCTCCCACCCCTGATGCCAGCCTCTTTCGGTGGTGACGGCTGCATTACACGGGAGTCATGGATTGAGATTCTGGCTCCTCGCTTTCACACTGTCCCATGAATGGGGGGTGAGCCAGTGGGTGAGTGCTCTAACAGGTACACTAGAAGAGGCCTGCTGGGATGCAGCGTGGTGGGCCTTGACCCAGTGCACTACATGGTGCCAGCCTCAGTCGCAGCTTGCCCCGCTGACCCCTTTTCTGATGAGTCCATTGCACTGTTTTTGACTTGCTTGCTTCCCATAATCCCTTACTTTTACTCCTTTTCAGCCATTGCTCTCCCTTCTGCTCACCTTGCCCTAGTGCCCGCTTCTCCCAGCTTCCGGATGGAGGAGCCCAGACTGCGGGCTTAGGTCTCCTCTGTGACATGTGCAAGGAATGCCCTCAAGCTCTCTCTTTGGTAAACTGTGTTTCTGTTTGTCTCAATATGCTCTAATTTCTTGAGCATTCTCCTCTTCATTGCGGGATTTTCCAGCAATATTGATTCTCACTTAATTACATTGTAATCTCAGGGCAGACACTGCATGACTTTATTCTTTTAAAAAGGTTTATTTTTATTGGAAAGACAGATTTACAGAGAGGACAGAGTAAAAGATCTTCCATCTGCTGGGTTACTTCCCAGGTGACCACAAGGGCCAGAACTGAGCTGATTCACAGTCAGGAGCTTCTTCCAGGTTTCCCATGCTAGTGCAGGGTCCCAAGGCTCTGGACCATCTTCTGCTGTTTTCCTGGACCATAAGCAGGAAGCTGGTAGAAGGCGGAGCAATGGGACAAAAACCGGTGCCCATGTGGGATGCTAACGACTGCAGGTAGAGGTTTAACCAGTTGAACCATTGTACCAGCCCCAATTTCATTCTTTTTAAACATCTTTATTTATTTTCATTTCATTTGAAAGCCAGAGACAGAGGGGCAGAGAGAGCCTCCTCTCCGTCCCCATGACCAAGTGCCCAGAGCTTCATCGAGGTCTCCCCTGTGAATGGCAGGGACCCACGGATTCAAGCTGTTACCTACCGCTCCCTTGGCAAGGTGTGAAGCAGTTCCAGTACTGGCAGCCAAGTGCCCTGATGTGGCATGCAGGCATCCCAGGCAGCACATGCCAGCCACTGTGCTGTTACACCATTGCCATTCAGTGAGGCATCTGCAGAGGGATTCTCTCTGTGGCCAGTAAGGCAGTGTTTTTTAACCATCTGATTCCTGTAGGCACTGTGCTGCCTTCACTAGGTGATACAGGGGAGATGTGTTGTAGGGTTAGATAGCAGACGGGCACCGTGGCACAGCAGACCAGGTCCTTCCTGGAGGTCCTCTGCGCAGGCTCCTGGCTCTGGTCCAGTCCAGCCTCCTGCTAGCAGGTGTTCCGGGAGGCTGCTGGCAGAAGCTCAGGATGTGGGTGTCTGGGACATGGGTGGCTCATCCAGATGGGCTGCTCACTAACTCCTCTGGCCTTTGTGGGCGTTCCGAATGTGAACAGTGGATAGATTTCTGTCTGTTCTCTCTCTCTCTGCCTTTCAAATAGATAAATGAATTCCCCCCTTCTTTTAAAAATTAAAAACAACCCTAACAAACTGTGGGCCCCCTCAACCCTAGGTGTTACTGTCCAAGTTATACGGACCCCAGGGGACCTTCTTCTTCACCTCCCACTCGCCGGGTGAGCACACCATCTGCCTGGTGTCTAACTCCACGCGGCTCGTGGCTTTCGGAGGCAGTAAGCTGGTGAGTCCACGTACCCTGCATCTCTGTTAACAGGCACAGCATCAGCATCATTCAGGCAGGACATGGCAAACTCCTGTGCTGGGGCTCACCGGAGGCCTGCTCCTGCCCTGCGCCCAGACCATGGTGCTGTAGCAAGAGAGAGCTGGGTGGAGCTGCGGGGGGGGGGGGGGGGTGCACTCAGAGTAGAGCCCCAAGGTTGAAGAAAGGGCTCGGAAAGCCAAGGCCGTCGGGGAGGGCCACGAACTGTGAAAAACAGGTAAGACTCAAGGCCAAATTAGTGAACACGAAGTGGGGATGGAGCAGGTGGATTGGTGCTTTCACATGAGAAATGCAACTGTGTGCCAAGAAGACGTCCTAAGTGCTGATCCAAGTGCTCCAGCCCCCAGGCTCTGGTGTGGGAGATAGTCAGGGGCCACAGAGGTACTCTCTGGCTGGCAGGCTCTCCTTCAGAGCACACAGCACAGCGGTGAGGACAGGGTGGTGAGAGACAGAAGTGCAGACCCAGTGGTGGAGGGAGCACCCACAGTGTGTGAGAGGAGGGGCGGGGTGCACAGGCCAGCTGGCAGCAGGTGACAGGGCCCCGCCTCCTCTTGGTCTTGCGCAGAGGATCCACCTGGATATTCGAGTGGGGGAACATGACTTCGATGCAGCCTTGGCTCAGGCGAAGGACCGGGTGAATGAAGTCACCTTCAAGCTTGAACATCTGATGGAGCAAGTGGCACAGATCCTCAAAGAACAGAACTACCAAAGGGTCAGCCTGCCCTGCAGCCCCTCTCCCCCTGCCAGGAGCAAGGACACCCAGCTGCCAGGCCCCCAGCCTTTCTGCAACAGCATGGGTACCAGGGAGTGGGCAGAGAGCAGCCACTGTCCACTTCTGCTGGACCTGGGTGGCAGGGGTGGGGTACGCCTTCACCCTCACTCCCTGTGTCCAGCAAAGTGCCGCCCTGCACGGGGTGGGAATGGTGTGTGGATTTCAGCATCTTCTTTTCTTTTGCACCAAGAGGGCTGTCTGAATTCCATCTTCCACCAGCTCTTTGAGAGCCTTGAAGGGGCTCAAGTGTGTCCATTTTCCAGACCACACATGTGGTCTATGGGAATCCCCTCTCCAGAGGCTCTACCAGGGATGCTGGCCACATGTGTGCTGAGTCCCACTCTGCCAGCCGCTGGCCTTGGCCATCTCAGCCGAGAGACGAGGCCATCTGGTGAGGCAGGTGAGGGCTGGCGCGATGCTGGGACTCCAGGTACAAAGGCCCTTTCCAGCGGTTCATGCTGGCTTGCTTGGGAAAACATAGCTTGATGGATCTGACCCCGGATATTTTTTTTTAAAAGATTTATTTATTTTTACTGGAAAGTCAGATATACAGAGAGGAGAGACAGAGGGGAAGATCTTCCGTTCGATGATTCACTCCATAAGTGGCCGCAAGGGCCAGAGTTGCGCCAACCCAAAGCCAGGAGCCAGAAGCCTCTTCCAGGTCTCCCACATGGGTGCAGGGTCCCAAGGCCTTGGGCTGTCCTCCACTGCTTTCCCAGGCCACAGGGAGGGAGCTGGATGGGAAACAGGGCAGCCAGGATTAGAACTCGTGCCCACATAGGATCCTGGCGTGTGCAAGGTGAGGACTTTAGCTGCTAGGCTACTGCATTGGGCCCGGCCCTGTGTGCTTTGTAAATTTGATTTTTCCCCCGTACTTGACTAAGCTGCCACCTGCCTCTGATACTGTACCCAGAAATAGCTTTGAATGCATTCACAGTCCACTGTGCTTCAAAGCTGTGCTGTGGGCACCCGAGGAAACTAAGCCGCTGTCTCTGCCACACACAGGACCGCGAGGAGAGCTTCCGTACCACCAGCGAGGACACCAACAGCCACGTGCTGTGGTGGGCTTTTGCCCAGACGTTCATCTTCGTCTCGGTGGGGCTCTTCCAAGTGAAGCACCTCAAGGACTTCTTCATCACCAAGAAGATTGTTTAAATCCCGCCCCGAAAGGCAGTTTCCGTGGGAATAAAGCTGGGAGCGTGTGCTGAGCTCAGCCGTACCAGGGCCTCTGCATAGCTCGCTCCCACCGCTGCCTGGCCAGGACCCACACGCGCTGGAAGCCATCACAGTCCCGTCTGAATCGTGTCCGGGCCGTCCGGGCACAGCCGCGACCCTGGCACGTGGTCACAGTATCTGCTCGCCCCTGCCCTGTCCGAGTCCACTCCTCTCAGCCACGCGGCCCCTGGCCCGCACTGTCCCAACTCCGGGTGGGCACGGCCACCTGGCCCTGCTGGTCCTTCACTGCGGTGCCTGCCCTGGGGCCTGGGCCTCGCGTGGACGCCACACCCAGAAGGGCCTGGGCCTGGCGTGGACGCCACTCCCGACATGGGGCCTGGGCCTTGCACGGAGCTCGGTGCGCTCGGTGCTCGGCAGGCCGCGTGGGCGCAGGCGCAGTGTGCCGGCGCGTGCGCGTGCGCAGGCGCGGGGCGGGCGGCATGGCGGCCTGGGTGTTCTGCAACCGATGCTTCCAGCCGCCTCACAGCACGTCGCGCTTCAGCCTCACCAACTGCGGGCACGTGTACTGCGACGCGTGCCTGGGCCGGGGTGAGGGCGCGAGGGGCGCGGGGGAGGTGGTGCCTGGACAGTACAGCCGGGGTGAGGACCAGGGGCATGGCGCGAGGCCGCAGGCCGCGGGGTGTCGGGCGTCCCCGGGCTGGCGATGGGAGCGGGGTGCACGCCTCGGCAGCGTCATGTCACCCTCCTGGGCAGGTGCCTGCAGGGTCCGGGGCGGGGATGGTGTCTCAGGTGAAAATGTGTCTGTCTCCTGCACAGCCGCCCTACCTGATTAGGACCGAGGGTTTCTATACTGCCTACTCCACAGCCCGCAGGGCTCCGCACTCCCGGCCTGCTGGTCAGCAAAGACAAGGGACAGGGTGCACATGGACGCTGGGCAGGGGAGACGAGGGACAGGGTGCACATGGATGCTGAGCAGGGGAGTGGCTGAGGGTCTGGGGCACATGGACGCTGGGCAGAGGATGAGGGTCAGAGGGGCACATGGACGCTGGGCAGGGGAAGGACCGACAGCCGGGGGAACACATGGACGCTGGGCAGAGGAGTGGCTCAGGGTCTGGGGCACATGGACGCTGAACAGGGAAGATGAGGGTCAGAGGGGCACATGGACGCTGGGCAGAGGCCCTGTCAGCAGTAGCAGGGTACACTTGTTCCTAGCTTTGTCTTCCTTTCTAATCGGTGTCTGCTCTGCAAGCACCCGCTGCCTCTGGCACTGGATGATCTTCCGAGCTTCCCTGGAGACTGTGTTGGTCTCAGGATCCTTGTCATCATGGCAGGCGACTTCCTCTTGTGGTGTCAGTTCCTCCTGCTCATCCAGAACAAGTGGGCCTTTACAACCAGCTTTGTTAGGCTCTTAGTGCCTGGCCTGGGTGTGGTGACCAAGCCCAGCATCTGCAGCTGTGGGAGGGCAGCATACCAGGACACTGTGGGACCAAGATTTTCAGATGGGGAGACTTGAACCTTCTGCAAATTGACTAAAGGGGCTGCCCCAGAACACCACTGTGCCTAGCGCTGGGGACACCTGAGATGGGCTGGTCTTAGGGGGAGGGGTACTGCCTTGTGTGCTTAGCTCTAGAAGAGGGGCCCAGGCAAGGAGGGATCCATAAGGACTTCTGGTCCCTTGGGAGATGGTAAGTATGTGTTTGAACAGGCACCCTGGATGATGGGGAAGGACTGAGAGCTGACTCAGTGGTGGCAAACGCTACATCTGTGCTGGCCCCTCAGCCCAGGCTTTCTCCTGTTCATGGCTGCAGGGCAGAGTGGGCCAAGGGAGGGTTAGGAAGGCAGAGACTATGGTATTGGTGCTTGCACCCTATCTGAACCAGCCAATGGAGGGAAGCCCAGGACAGGTCAGGGAAAGTGTGGGAGTGTTTCCATGACACTCTGGGTGTGGTGAGGACCAGGCGTGGGCAGAGCAGGACCTCAAGGTCCAGGGATGTCCCCGGGGAGGGACGGAAAGATGGATAGGGAGAACAAGGCTGTTGGCCAAGGCCCTTGAGCTCCAGGTTTCCAATCTGGTACTAGAATTTCATGGAGATGGTGGAGAGAAGGGGGTGGGGTCCCAGTGAGGCTGGGACAGGTGAGAAGGGGTGCGTCACAGTGAGGCCTCACAGGTGAGAAGGGGTGGGTCACAGTAGGGCTCAGTCAACGTACTGGATGCCAGCAGGCACTACCTACTAACCTGAGTTCCTTGGCCTCCGACCTGTGGCCACGTGAGGGCGTGGTCTGCGCAGCACCAGGGACACCTTAGTGTGTTGTGGAAGGAAGAGGCAGAGGGTGCCCACTGCGTGCTGACCCACAGCCTCGTGCTGTGTGTACCCTGAGAGCACCAGTGTGACCCTGTGTGTCTGCCACAGAAACACTAGCATCAAGTCTGCATCGGTGTTTGTGTGACATGTTGAAATTCCCTTTGTTTTACAGGTACAAAGGATGAATGCTTGATTTGTAAAGTTCCTTGTCGTACTGTTTATCTTTCAAAAAATGTAAGTTGCCATTTGTAGAAGCTGAATATCATGAGCTCCTTTTAGATGTGAGAGGAATTGTGATCCTTTGTGGTTAAGAAGGTTTCTGTTGTTCCTCTAGGTTAATTAGAGCTTGTGAGGTTAGGGGGCAGGGAAGCACAGTTGAGACCTGGTGTTCAGAGCCGGCGTGGCTGCCCAGCCCTGCTTTGGCCTATGCCGGGCGTGTCGCCCAAGTCCACTCACACACCTGGAAGGGAGTGATTCCCTGTGGTTTATTGCAGGTGGTAGGGATGGATTTCAGAAAGGGTGTGGGAAAATACAGCTTATTTTGTTGTCCCGAATTAAGAAATCCTTGCATAATCTTCTTTTGTGAACATTTTGAAGTTCCTTCTTCTCATGCATGAGTTTCATTTTTAAAAATATTTATTTGGACCCTGCCTAATGGCTGAAATCTTGCCTTGTACCCTATGGGTGCCAGTTCTAATCCCAGCTGCTCCACTTCCCATCCAGCTCCCTACCTGTGGCCTGGGAAAGCAGTAGAGGATGGCCCAAGGCCTTGGGACCCTGCACCCACACAGGAGATCTGGAAGAGCTCCTGGTTCCTGGCTTTGGATTAGATTAGCTCAGGCTATTGTGACCACTTGGGGAGTGAACCAGCGGATGGAAGATCTTTCCTTCTCTATTTCTTTCTGTAAATCTACCTTTCTGATAAAAATAAATAAATCTTTTCTGTATATATTTATTTGGAAGTCAGAGCTTCAGAGACAGACAGAGATCTGCCCCTGGCTCTCCCCACAGATGGTGGTGATGGCCAGGGTTGAGCTGGGCTGAAGCCAGGAGGTCCGGCCAGGTCTGCCCATGGCAGCAGGAGCCCAGACACTTGGGCCATCCTTCTGTGTTTGTGCCAGCCGTTAGCAGGGAGCTGGGTTAGAAGTGGAGCAGCTGGGACTTGAACCAGCACCCTTGTGGGGTGCAGGCAGTACAGGCGGCAGTTTTACATGCTGTACCGCAATACTGGCACCATTTCTGTTTTGCACCAAAATTATCATTTAATTCTCTTTTTCGCAAACCTTTTGAAATGTTCTCATATACATCATTAAGAAAGTTAAAGTGAATTTTGATTATTGCCACCATTTGCTTTTGTTCTATCTATAAATATACCCATATAACTAATTTGTTGTTGATATAAACCGCAGTTTCACATGATTTTTTACACCTGTTCTCCAGAATATGTGTGTGATGCAGTGTTTAAATGCCACCTTCTGGTGACAGGTAGAGCACAAAGTTATAATTCCAACAGCACAGACAATCACAATGAGCTATGAAAATGTCCATCTCCACTTTCTGGAAGTGACTATGGCCAGAAGGTGGTCTGCCATGTGCATTGTGACTCATCTACATGCAAAAATACTGTATCCTGGGCCCCCAGCCCTCCCAAGTGACCCCACCAAACCGCTACAGGAGACAGTTTCACTGCTTCATGCTGGTGACACTGCCTCTGGCTAAGGCTACAGAAGTTAGAACCAGGGACAGAACTGAGTGTGTTCCCTTGGGTGGGAAGTGCCTGTGCTCCTCCCCCTGCCAGTGTGTGGCTGGTCACACACTTAATGACAGTGCCCGCTATGCTGCCCCCTGGCCCTAGGTGCAGGTGGCAGGGGATGCCAGGTTCAACGTTTGAGTTTTTCTTTATGTTTCCTGGTGACTGAGTAAATCCTGCTTCTCTGTGACACTGAAAATCATTTCTATTCTGTCTTTATTTCTTCCATAATTGAATAATTATTTGACTAATTAAAATTTTTTTTTGAAAGGCTGAGTTACAGAGAGACAGGGAGAAAGCTCCTCTATCTGCTGGTTTGCTCCCCAAGTGGCCACAGCAGCCTGAGCTGAGTTCATTGGAAGCCAGGAGCTTCTTCTGGGTCTCCCATGCAGGTGCAGGGTCCCAAGGCTTTGGGCCATCTTCTACTGCTTTCTCAGGATGCAAACAGGGAGCTGAATCTAAAGTGGAGAAGCTGAGACTAGAACTGTTGCCTGTATGTGATGCTGGCACTATGGGTAAAGGGTTAGTGTGTTACATGATAGTTCAAATGTCTTTCTTTGGGGCCTGGTGCGGGGTGGCCTAGCAGCTAAAGTTCTTGCCTTGAACACATCAGGATCCCATATGGTTGCTGGTTCTAATCCCGGCACCCCTATTTCTCTCTCTCTCTCTCTTTTTTAAAGATTTATTTATTTAGTGGAAAGTCAGATATACAGAGAGGAGGAGAGACAGAGAGGAAGATCTTCCGTCTGTTGATTCACTCCCCAAGTAACCACAACAGCCGACGCTATGCTGATCCGAAGCCAGGATCCAGGAACCTCTTCCGGGTCTCCCACACGGGTGCAGAGTCGCGAAGGTTTAGGCTGTCCTCACTGCTTTCTCAGTCCACAAGCAGGGAGCTGGATGGGAAGTGGAGCTGCCGGAATTAGAACCGGCGCCCATATGGGATCCCAGGGTGTTCAAGGCGAGGACTTTAGCCACTAGGCCACTGTGCCGGGCACAGCCCTATTTCCCATCCAGCTCCCTGCTGTGGCCTGGGAAAGCAGTGAAGGACGGCCCAAAACCTTGGGATTCTGCACCCATGTGGGAGACCCGGAAGAGCTCCTGGATCCTGGCTTTGGATTGGCTCAGCTCCGGCCGTTGTGATCACTTGGGGAGTGAATCATTGAACAGTGGATCTTCCTCTCTGTCTCTTCTCCTCTCTGTATATCTGACTTTGCAATATAAATAAATACATTTTTTTTAATAATCTTAGTTTATTAGGGTACAAAGGGTCATGGGCTACAGGGTGAAAGTGGGTAATATCATTGTTTCCACACTAATATAATCATTTTGCCCTGTATCTAGGGTTAGGGGAGTAACAAAGGGGAAAGCCCCACCCTACCTCCCACCCATCCCCCATCCCCAACATGAGGCGCGCTCCAAGGGTCCTGCTCATACAGTTTTGATAGTTCATCAGTTCTGGATTGCTGCCAATCTCTCCGTCCCAACCGTAATGGAACCTATTCAGAGTCCACTGGCTGACAGTCTCTTGATGGTTGGGGTTCCACGATCAGCAGTTCAGTTGGAGAGATATCCAAAGAAACTTCATCTGAGTTGATCCCAGATCTGATTCTTGAGTGAGTTTGCTAGTACAGACTCCAACACTGTTCGTCACACCAATCAGCTTATGCATATGCTGGTCGTTGCGATTGCTGGGTCCATTCGGCTTCCAGCCCTGTCTTCCTTGTGAACCAATGGGTGTTGTAGTCCAGCTCGATTCTACCCACTTCATACTCGGTCTTCATGCAAACCAGTTGGAGCTGCAGCCTAGTTGAGGCGACTCCCCAAAACCCCTACCAGTTCTGCCCCCTACCCTGGTTCCCATGCTTGCCAGTATGCACTGCAGGCTTGTCCAGTCTGTCCCACATCCCAAGTAGCTCTCGCACATGTCAATGGACATTGAAGCCTGGTTCAACCCAACCAACCTATTATCCAGCCCATACACCCACTGGCAGGTGCCTTTCTGTCAAGCCACCCCTGCTCCTAGCCTGGGTTTCGTGCTGTCCAGTGAGGGTGGTAACCCTGAGGGAGGTGCCCACTATTTCCCTACTAGGCCACACCCACTCCTAGAGTATGCAGTCTCCAGGTAGTTTTGGCATTTGACTTGTCAGAATTGGCTCCTAGTACCAGCCTCTGCCAGCTAACACTGTGGCTAAGCCCAAACACCCCTCAACCCACTCTAATTTTAACTTGCACCAGTCAGAACAGTCAGCTCACCGTGAGGCCCACAGGTGCTATAGCCCTGCCTAGTCTGAACTGCCCCCATCCGTATTCACACTTTCCAATGGAAGTAGTTATCCAGCAGGGGTGCCCACGTTCCCCTGTTGGCTTTGCCTCCTCCCTGATTGTCACATGTGCTGGTTGTGTGCTGCAGCCACATCTGGTACGGCTCATCTCACCTTGGCATTACTTGTTGTGTACTGGTATGTGTTGCAACCGAACCTGGCTCGACCCACACTCTGTTCTGGTGCTCGGATTCACCAGAAGGTAATGTGAACAGATTCAGGCTGGTCTGCCCCCAACCCATGCCATGTGTATGCCAGTGGGATAATTTTCTTTTTTTTTTAAGATTTATTTTTATTATTTTTTGATTGGAAAGGCGGATATACAGAGAGGAGAGACAGAGAGGAAGATCTTCTGTCCGATGATTCACTCCCCAAGTGAGCGCAACGGGCCGATACTTTGCCGATCCGAAGCCAGGAGCCTCTTCCGGGTCTCCCACGCGGGTGCAGGGTCCCAAAGCTTTGGGCCGTCCTCGACTGCTTTCCCAGGCCACAGGCAGGGAGCTGGAAGGGAAGCGGGGCTGCCGGGATTAGAACCGGCGCCCATATGGGATCCCGGGCGTGCTAGGCGAGGACCTTAACCACTTGCGCCACCGCGCCGGGCCCCAGTGGGATAATTTTCATTGCCTGTTTTGGGTTGTTCCCTATTGTGCTTCTTGCGCTTACCTGCATGGGACTGTGTACTGCCAGAGAAGTTGCCCGGGCTCCTCCACCAGAACCTGTCCCAATGCCAGTTTTCGCGCATACCAGTGGGTCCATGAGCCAGCACTACTCAGTTTGCCTGCTATCCTAGGAGGAACAGTGGCTTTTCCTGCCTGGCCTCCGACCCAAGCTGGTTCTTGTTGTTGGATATTTCAACCCAGCCATGGCTCTTCCATACCCCTACCAAGCTCACACATGGTTCAGTAAGGGCTGAGACCTAACCTAGTCTGTCACACAACCCTCCCCGGTCCTCTAGAGCACCAGATGGTGTTGGAATTTGGCCCGGCTTGGTGCTTCCCATCCCAGTCCACAATTGTGCCAAGTGAGATTACGATCGTATCCTGATCAGAATGTAGCCTCAGTTCCAGCCCATGCGCTCCTTGGTGGGAAACTCAACCCAGCTAGGGTGTCCTGTTATTTCCCCAACCGGGCCTCTGCCCTGCCATAGAGCAGGTGTAGGC